AATCCCTCTCTCCCCCTCCTTCCTTCCTTCCTCCACCGGCAGCAAGCGACGCCATTATCTATAATCTCCTCTCTTTGCTCCGTTCCCCCACTTTTTCTCCTTCTTCTTTCCGATCTCCTCTCTCAAGGAATCTTCCACCCGAAAGTAAGATTCTAGGGATATCAATTTCGGTAGGTGGAGTAAACCGAAATGCCCGGGGGATTGAGCTAGATGACTCTCAAGTTTCACCTCCCGCCATTCGTCGCAGATAGAGGAGCGAGTGACAGGAGAAGGAGCAGAGAACAGAGCCTCGGGAGAGGAGCGAGTGACAGGAGCGGAGCGGGTGAGGGTTCTGGGTACGGATTCTATCTTCGAAGCTTCAGCGATGGCGACAACATCTTCAAACCCCCGCTGCATTTTACTCGAGGAGAATGCCATTCATCGGGGAAGAAGGGAGAAGAGGAATGGTTAGGGTTAGGAATTTTTTTGGTTTTTCACGAAGAAGGAAAGAGACGAGAGGATAAGGGGGCCATGGGTGCCTGAAAAGATGTTGTTTTTTTTTCATTTTTTTAATTAGGCAAAAGAAATAAGAAACAAAATTCGAATTTTTTATTTCTTTGGTTGTTGACATGGCGGTGACATAGACGGTTAACAAATGGTCAACGGTGTTGACCGTCCAAATAAACGATCAAACCACGATCAGGGCCAAATGAGTATATATGTTGCAAAGTTCGGGCCAGGATGTTAATTTCTCAAACCACGAGCCAAAGTTGATTATATGATCATAGTTGGGGCTTGTTTGAGCCTCGAATGTTCTAGGCGGTTTGATGAAGAACGAGTGAAGCGTCTGTTCCACATGGTGGGTGTACTCCTGATCCCTACAAAACAAGGGTCTGTGGGCGGTTGCCTAGGACACTCTCCAATGCCTAAGTCAGAGAGAGAAGATAGAATTTAAGTTTATGTTTAGAGAGAGAGGTAGTAGTTGAGTTACCATCAATGCATATATGAATGTATTTATAGTTAGTTAGGTTGGGTTTGGGGCATTAACTGCCATGTCAAGCGCCCTAGACACGCCCTGCTTTATCTAGATCGCCAGCGGCAGGCAATTAATGCTTAGTCCAGTGGTCTTCGAGGCGAATATCCTAGGAAGATCTCCCTTTCCTGTCACTAACTGTACTTTGTGTCAGGTGGCCTATCCCCTATCTCGTCCTAGGCTAGCCGCCCGCCACTTTCTTTTCCCTATGAATGCTCCTTCCTTGGGTCCTCCGCTGGGCTTTGCCCGATTTACTCCTATTGGGCCTAAAGCCCAACACAGCTAAACTATGGGCCTAGCAATTGCCCTTTAGTCGTGAAAAGCTGCGGGTTTTGGCGGTTACAAACTTTGTACCAGTTGTGTTGAGCGGTCTACTCCTGCAACCACTACCTATATCCTGCCCCTAGCCGCCAAAGAGACAAAGGTTTTTCACTCCACGTCTAGATAATCCCTTCGATCCCTGGACGGTCCTCCTTTGAGACCGCTACCTACATCCTATCTATAGCCGCACAGGATCCGAACGGTTGTTTCGTCCACCCTTAGATGCTCCACTCTACTCTTCATGTGATTCAATGTGGTTCGCCATGAATTCTCTTGTGTCGATACCTTTCTCACTACTCTTCCTACTCTTTGCATGCTACGCCACGTGTCGATTCTTGAAAGTTGGACCCTGACAATGGGTAGCTACCACGTCCAATCTCCTGCCCGTCCTTTTGAATTTGAGACTAGGGTTTCGCCTCGGTCACCCAACCGTCGCGTCGCTGCCCTTTGCCCTTTTTCTAGTTTCCCTAATTTATACCTCTTCTCCTCCTTTATGCTTCATTTTCTTTTTTCTTTGCTCTCGTCTCGTCGAGTTTCCTCTGTTCTTTGCCAAGATTGCTCGCTGCTCTCAATTTTCCCTTTCTTCTTACTTGTGAGATCATCCCCACCTGCCGCCAGTACGAGCGAATTTGCTCACCAAGCTCAGAAACGAGCAAAAAGAAAATGACGACGGTTGAGAATGGCGATCACATCTTAGAATACTACTGCTTCTGATAGTCAGAACTAGAACCTCTCCAGCGCCGCCTCCATCGCCGTTACGACTTTCGACGATATTCAAACCTCCAGTGCTGTAGCCAGCGTTCCCCGCTCTTCCTTGAAGACCGGTGGCGGATCTAGCAGGTCGTCTTCTGGGAACAAGTATGCTATCCCAGGTATGTTGTACTCTTCATTTCTTTTGTTGCATTCTCCGTAGCATCGAGCTAGGATAGGGTTTCAGAATTGAGGTTTTAGTGTGCGGCTCTTAAACGTGCGATCCAACTTAGCAAGAACTTAGGCGGTCTTCGTTATGACCTTTTAGGGGTAGAACTTTACCCCAAGACCGTTGGTGGTACGTCTGGTGGCTGGCGGGGAGCGTCTTTGACGGTTGGTGACAACCTTGGAGATTTCAGCTATTCGAAGGGGGAGAGCGAACCGCCGAATACAGCGCCCATGGTTACGCTTTCTTCGGATAGTGGGACCGGCGACCGCCCTGGCGCTAATGAGAGAGAACTGTCACCTTCCCTGGTGGTGTCTGACGGGCTGCCTGTCGAGGCATTTCAAGTTCTCAACGACACTACTTATCGTGTGAGACTACATAAGACATGTGGGAGGGGGAGGAGGTTCTGATGACCGCCTACCAACAAGGGCCACCTAACGAGTAGGGCTGGGAATCCAGTCCCGGTTTTCTGGTCAAACCGAAAACTGACCAGTTTAAAACGTCCCGGTTGTAACCGGAAACCAGATTCCCATTCACCCAATCCAATTTGTGGTTGTAGGATTAACACAAAAAACTGTCCCGATTCGATTCGGGAAAAACCAAAAAACCGGATAATCCAAATATAGCCAGTCCCAGTCCTAGTCCCAGCCCGAGCCCACTACCACTCCCAGCCCGAGCCCACTCCCTAACCATAGTCGGCCATGATTTTCTTCTCTGTTCTCTCACTCCCTAACCCTCAAACTCTTTTATCTTCTCAGTTCACACTTTACAAAAACACACACACGCGAAGAAAAGAAGAAGACGAAGAGAATCCAAGCTCCTCCGAGGCCAATCGCCTCCCTTGATCGCGTCCCGTGACTCCCGACGGCGACCAACCGAGAGTCAGCCATCGGCCCATCACCATTCCGCCACCAGAACTCTCCAATCGCCTCCCTCCATCTTCCGATCTGACCTCCATCATCCAATCGTTCATCGCCACCTTCAGCAACGACTCACTTCTCTCCCCGATGCAAACCAGTGCTCGCCTCCTCTATTCACGAAATACATGGTGATGGTTGTGCATGCAAGAGGAAGGGGGAATAGAGGAGAATTTATGGGTGCCAGACTCTCCCATCAGCTCTCCATGAAGCAAAGGAATGGGAGAAGAGAAGAAAGTAGAGGAAAGAAGTGGACTTCGTTATTTGGTGGGAGAGAGCAATGACGGTAACGATAGAGATGGAAGAAGATAGGGTTTTGAGGGATTTTGTGGATGGCGTGTTGGGATGGAATAAACAAATCCAGTTTTGTAGTTAAAACCGGACCAAACCATATTGCATCCAATTTGGCTTGGTCAAAACCGGGTTACAATCCAATCCCGTCTTCGGTCGTGGGATTATCTAATACGGTTGTAAAAAATTGGGTCAATCCGGTCCGGTTTAAACCAAACCGGATTGTTTCCCAGCCCTACTAACGAGGATGCTTACAAGCCCCATCAAGTCCTCCGTCAGCTAAAGACTCATGGTCTTCCTGCTGATTGGGACTATGCGGCTCCTTCCCCCGTCGGGCGGTCTGGTTCTTGTCCTGGGGAGTGGATCCCCATCCATGAAAAGCACATCCGAATGGGGTTCGGATAACTGTCTGTCGCCTGGTATCATCTTCCACTCCATTGCCTTTCGAGCCGCCTGCGAAAAAATTGGGGAGACGCCCTCTTTCAATGCTTTTCGCTTACTGTACAAGGTGCGGGGTTCGGATAACTGTTGGTAGTGCTATCGGCGGGAGACTCGAGTTGGCTTTGTGCACGGGGCGCCGAAGCTAGATTTTCCTTGGTTTAAGGAGTATTTTTTTTCTCGTCCAAAGGGAAAATGGTATTCTGGTGATGCCAAACCGCTTATGGGGTTTGCGGTTGGTGACAAGAGGGACTGGAATACTGACCTAGACGGTCTTGAGCCCTTAAGACCGCTCATTAAGCGGCTAATGAGCGCCGTTCAGTTCCATCTTCCTCCCAAGGGGAATGATAATGCCTTGGAGATTATTCGACATTTTCACGATTAGTTTCTTTCTCCTTGTACTTATTTTGCAAGGACTCGGCGCTATGCTACTTCCGCTCGACTCCCAAGCCAGTCACTAGTGCTCCTTCCTCTCTGCTTCCTCCAGCTATTGCTCAGACAGGGGCTCTTCTCGCGCAGCCTGCTTTGCCATCCCAGAAGCAGCTTGTGGCTAGCCGCACAAGAGTGCTGAAGTTATTGGAGCCAGCTTCCACAAAAGGCTCCGTTAAGCGGTCACTAGAGGTATCGTCCTCGCATGATAAGAGGTCGACCACTAGCGAGGCTAGACTGAAATGCATCTTTGCTGAGGCTCCTCGGCTACCCCTCTTGATCCCTATATCTCGTCTAAAAGACAGAAGAGGACAACCCTTGACTCCACTGTCTCCTTTTCCTCTTAAGCGTCCCTGTACTTCTTGGCCGCCAAGCGCGCCATGCATGTAATCGCTGAGGAACTGGCGGTCCCAGATGATCATACTCACGTTGCTGGTACTCCTATCTTGACGTGTGATACCAGGCATTTGGCAAGTGCAACCGCTCGGTTTTTCTTTGCGGTACGCTTGTATTCCCTTGTCTGTTTGTGCTTTTGACCTTTATTTTGCTAACTTTGGCTTTCGCAAACCCAATTTTGGTTGAACCAGATGATCCTGCACAACGACTGCCTGCAGAGTGACCTAGATGACAGGACGACCAAGGTTCTTCAACTTAAGGATCAGCTTAAGGAGGACTGCGAGGGGCTGAAGGCGAAGCTGAGGGAGGAGATTCTGAAAGAATAGGCGACCGTTCTGAAAGAGAAGGATCCCCTGCTGGCATCTTCTAAGGAGTGGTTGAGGAAAACTGAAGAAGACGCAGAGAAGCTGCGGAAGGAAGTGAACGACACGATCGTTCGAGATCGTTCGAGAAAATGCCCTGCAAGAGGAGCTGGCCAAGGTTAGGACAGAGAAGGCTAAGATGGAGGACGCTATCGAGACTGATCTGCTCAAGGCTGCCGACGCGGCGAGAGCGGCGTTGTCCGATGAGTACAAGGTCACTGACGAGGCGAAGTACAATAAACTGCTGAGAGACACCGTGGAAGCCATTCGTCGCTGGTTCCGCCGCGAGCGTCCCGAGGTTGTGTGGGACCCTAACACGATATGGGACGCGGTTGAGTACTGGAGTGATGATGACATCAACTCTGAGCATGTTGCTATTCCGACCGCCGCTGCTCCATAAACCAGTCTTCCAGGGGAAACCGCAGAAGGTGAAGAGCATATCAGCACGATTAAGGAGGCACTGTTTGATGAGCTTGTTAATTTGCTTCCTTTTTTGATTTTGTTTTGTAAGCCTTGAAAAAATTAAATATGCCTTAAGGCATTGAATATTATGGGTGTCCGTTGCGACACCCCTGTTTATGTAATGCTAATATTTTTGTTCCGAAATTTGGCTAACACTCGAGAGCGGTTCTTCGGTTGTCGGCACGCCCTTGGAACCATCTTTATAGACAAAAGGCTATGGAAACTCGTCGTTCCGAGGCGGTTTTGAATTGTGAACTCGATTCAAAATATTATGCTCTAAGGCGGTTTCGAATTGCAAACACAGTTTAAAATATTACGCTCTGAGGTGGTTCTTATATTGTTTGCACAAATAAAGGTTCAACGCTCAAAGGCGGTTTTGGAATTGTGAACACAATTTTTGTGTCTAACACTCTGAAGCGTTTTTCAATTGTAAGTTTGCTTTGAAGCATGACGGTCTGAGCCAGTTTTGGGATTGTGAACACAATTTTTGTGTCTAACACTCTGAAGCGTTTTTCGATTGTAAGTTCTCTTTGTAGCATGACGCTCTGAGGCGGTTTTGGGATTGTGATAACAATTTTTGAGTCTAACACTTGGATGAGTTGAGAAGATGAACGTTCGGTGGCGTTTTCATTAACCAAAATTTTGGTCACCACTTGGAGGTGGTAATCCTTACATGTGGAATTTCTCCCCAAAATATAGTCACAGGCTATCATCGTATTGATAGCTTCAAAAGACATGGCGGTCAACGACTCTTCTTCCCTCTTTTGAACTATTCTTCAAAATACTTCTTCAGGTCAATGATATTCCAGGTCTTCGCCATTGGCTTTCCTCCCATTGTGGCAAGCACGTATGTTGCTGGTCCTAACTTTTCCCCAACAAGGAATGGTCCTTCCCATGCGGCCGTTAGCTTGCCATGCCCTTCCTTACGTTCAAAGTTCCTTTTTAGGACCAAGTCACCTTCTTCCAGTGGTCTAGGCTTCACCTTGGCATTGTACGCCTTTGCCACCTTCAGCTTTTCTTCCACAGTTTTGACTAGCGCCGCGTCTCTCCTCATTTTGACCATGTCTAGCTGATGGAGCAGCTTTCTGTGATTATCCTCAGGATCATATGTCTGTATGCGGAGCGATGGCAGGACCATCTCTGTTGGTGTGACCGCTTCTGAACCATATGTCAGGGCGAATGGTGTTTCTCCAGTAGCTTGTTTGTAATTTTTGCGGTGCGCCCATAGTACATGGGGAAGCTCCGCGGTCCACCCTCCTTTTGCTTTCTTCAGCCTTCTTTTCAGGCCTCTCAAGATTAGTTTGTTGGACGACTCCACTTGTCTATTTGCTTGAAGGAAAGCAACTGATGCCATCTTGCAAGTGATGCGGTTTCGGGTGCAGAAGTTCTCAAACGGTCTGCAATCAAACTGCGTGCCATGATAAGTTATTATAGTATGAGGCGTTCCAAACCTGGTCATTATTTTGTTGAATAAGAACTTATGAATTTTGGCACTAGTGATTGTGTCCAGCGGTTCCGCTTCGATCCACTTTATGAAGTAGTCGACATCGACCACCAGATACTTCTTCCCTAAGGGAGTCGTGGGAAACGTCCCCAGGAGATCCAGACCCCACTGTGCGAATGGTCATGGTCCTGTAATCCCCTTCAGTTTCTCACTTGGTAAGTGTTGTTTGCTGGCATGGATTTGACACTCGTGGCATTTCTGAACCGCCTCCTTAGTGTTCTTCTCGACTGTAGGTCAGTAGTACCCCTGTAGCAGCACTGTACTTTTGAGGAACCATGGTCCAGAGTGTGACGCACATGTTCCTTGATGAATTTCTTTCACCACCCACTTCGCTCCTTCTTGACCGTGTAATAGAAATTTCCCATGTGGGTCATGAAGGCGGTCTTCTCTTGATCTTCCTCGGACAGTCGGATCTGATGGTATCCGGAGAACATGTCTAGGAAGCTTAGACTCTCATGATTGGAGGTTGCGTATATGAGTTGGTCTATTCTTGGCAGAGGGTATGCGTCATTGGGACGGGCTTACGTTGACATTTTTGAAATCTATGCACATTCTCCATAATCCGGACGCCTTACGGACGAAGAATGGATTTGATAGCTATGTTGGGTACTTGACCTCCCTTATGAAACCTGTTTTGAGCAACCGCCTTACTTCTTCTTCAGGGCCATTTTCTTCTCGAGGGAAGCGTTCCTCCTTCCCTGTTGAATGGGATTTGATTTTCTTTTTACCGATAGGTGATGCTCGGCGAGTTCTCTTGAGACGCCCGACATGTCCTCAGAGGTCCATGCGAACAAATCTTTGTAGTCTTTGAGGAGCACCAAGAGTTCTCGCGCTTTTTCTTCTGGGAGATGGGACGAGATCCTGACTTTCTTTTATGGCTCTTCATCATCAAGGATTACTGCTGCATTCTCTTCAACTGCCTTGGACGGGGGTGACCTCCTCGTGTGTCCACTAAGTCCACCTCCAGGCTTTCAATCGTCCCTGATAACATTCTGATACGATCTCACGTGGTTTCAAAGGGAAGCTTGAGCAAAGATACGAAGAAGCTAAGAAGAAGGGGCAAAGGGAAGAAACTCCAAAATTGGCTAAGTCTAAGGCTGAGGATGAGTACCCAACTTTGGGGCCTTCTTGCTTACTTTTGGAGGAGGTTCAGAGTAAGGGGAAGTCTTGTCATGAATCTAGAAGTGTAGAGGAAGAGTCCCATGGCCATGTCTTGGCTCGAATCAAGCTCAAGAGACTGGAACCAGAAGCTTCAAGTTGGTATGTCCTCATGGTGAGAGCTGCCAGTGTTCAGAATCTAGCTAAGTATGGAAAGGCGGTTGAGACACGAACTTTGAGGGCTCACCCCTGGCGAATGAAGGACTTTCGTTGGCTAAGGAAGGTTGGAAATGGAAGAGGGAGTCTTGCACTGCAACGTGAGGGTGTTGGGTGATGGATATAAAGTCGACACCGCCGCATCCACGTTCAATTTCACCCAGCCTTCCTCCGGTTGTTCCCAGGTATCCTTACTCTCTGACCCCTCTTCCTTCTCCATGGTGTGATGCGATTGAAATTCCTCCTAGTAGGCTAGGGCACGACCAACAATCTCCCATTCTTCTGCTTTTTTCTTGTTGAACATATGGTTGTTCCTCTCATTCCAAATCGACCATAATAAGATAATATTTCTCTAGCATCTCATTTTCTGTTTGATCCATAACCGCGCAGAGCCAGCTTCCAGATGATAGGTTAGGTTCTAGCTCAAATAGGGATTTGAACATTGAACCTTTTCAGATTCGAATTGCCCACTGGCATTCCCTAAAGATGTGATTCTGGGTTTCTTCTAGAAAGCACAACGGACATTCCGTCGCTGCCTCTTCCTTCCTTCGCTCGATGTTTTTTCCAGTTGGAAGAATCTCATGAGCCAATCTCCAAATAAATTTTTTGACCTTAGGTGGGATCGTTAACTTCCAGAGTCTTACCCAGTCCATAGGATCATAGATCTCTACATTCACCTCTGTGTTATTCTCTTCCACTTCCTCTGCTAGGGCATTCGTATCTTGTCCCTTAGGATTTTTCTTCATCTGTTGTTTGTATGCAGATTTGACCGTGTAACAACCCTTTTCTCTGCACTCCAGACTAGGGTATCCTTGGCTGTTTGCCTCGGAATGGGGATGGAAAGTATCTTCTCACTGTCTACCACATTGAAATTGATATGTAGCATATTAGTTCTCCACCTTCTTTTCTCGTGGTCAATAACTCTAGTTAACCCCCCTATATTTGGTTTAGGTGTAGTCACCCTAATTTCAGCCTCCTCTGCACCCGCCACCCATTTATCTGACCAAATGTTAATGGTCGAGCCATTACCAACCCTCCATCTAATTCCATCACTCACCACTTGTTGAGCAGCCATAATGCTTCTCCAAGTATAACTAGGATTGGAACCTAGCCTTGCCTATAAGATGTTAGAATTGGGATAGTACTTGGATTTCAACATTCTGGCCACTAGGGATTCTGGATTGTTGATGAGATTCCAGATTTGCTTCCCTAGTAGTGCTATGTTGAAAGTTTTCAAGTCCTTAAACCCCATCCCTCCTTCCACCTTTGGTTTACATAGTTTATGCCAGGCTCTCCAAGGGATTCTCCTTTCTTCCTTCTGCTATCCCCACCAAAAGCTAGCAATGGCTTTCCTCATTTCATTGAACACCCCATTAGGTATGAGAAAAACTAACATCAAGTAGGTAGCCTGAGCTTGTGCCACCGATTTTATGAGCACCTCTTTTGCTTCTATGGAAAGGGTCTGCCCCTTCCAGTGCTTTATTTTTTTCCTTTTCGATCTACCAACACTTGGAAAGCTGCCTTTTTTTTATCTGCCCATAACTGTAGGTAGACCTAGATATTTGTGATTGAATTCCACCTGTCGCATTCCAAACTTGGGTTGAAACTGAGCTCAGACTTCTGCATATTAACCACCTGACATGATTCCTCTTCATAGAGCTTTAATAGGTCCTTCAACTGACTGCTTTCTTGGGGAGTAGCTCTAATAAACAGAATACTGTCATCCGCAAAAAGTAAATGCGAGATGGCTGGTCCCCTGGCCAAAGTCTTCAGTCCAAGTAATTTCCCTGTGTTCACTGCATTAGTTAAAAGGGTAGCCAGACATTCAACACATAATAGGAACAGATAGGGTGACAATGGATCACCCTGTCTTAGCCCCCTTTCTGGCTTAAATTCCTCAGATCTGTGGCCATTAACCAGAATAGAATAGGTGACTGTTGTAATGGACTTCATAATCATTCCCACCCATCTTTCTGCGAAGCCGAGTTTAAGCATCATAGCCACTAGGAACTCCCACTCCACTCTGTCATATGCTTTTGAAATATCCAACTTAGCTGTCATAAATCCTTTTTTTGCTCGAGCTTTCTGATTCATGGTGTGAAAACATTCAAAAGCCACTAGAATGTTGTCTGTTATAAACCTTCCAGGGATGAAAGAACTATGTTGCTCCGATATGATATGATTCAGCACCTGTTTGAGCCTGTTTACAAGTACTTTTGACAAGACTTTGTAAAGTACATTGCACAGGCTTATAGGTCTGAATTCCATTGGAGAAGTTGGTTTGTTTTTCTTTGGTATCAAAGCAATCAAGGTCTTGTTTAGTTCCATAGTAAACTCCCCAACCTCTAGGTAGGTCCGCAACTCACTTAGAACTGTCTGCCCTACAATGTGCCAGTGTTTCTGAAAGAAACGGGCAGACATTCCATATTTCCTCTTCTGTGAATGGCTGAAGTAGTGTCTGGTTCATTTTTGTCGTCACTATAGGGGTGACTAAAGGAAGAATTCTACTCACCTCTGCTCTTCCTCCTTTGGAAAACAAGCCCTGCATATACCCTAGCAGGCAGTTTGTCACTTCCTATTGGCCTGTGCAAACACGACAAGTTTCATCTAGGAGCCTTCTTATAGTGTTTTTCCTTCGTCTCTCATATGCTTTCCTATGAAAATAACCCGTGTTTTGATCCCTTTCTTTTAGCCAGTCGACCCTTGATCTATGTTTCCACTTTATTTCTTCTTGGAGGATGATGTTGTTCAGTTCTTGTTCAAGTACTTTCCTCTATTGTAGCATTGACTTGGTTCGTTTTCTCTTTTCCAGAGCCTGTAAAGCTTTTTCTGCCTTCTTCCTTCTCAGGTTCAGCGAACCAAAAGCTTCCTTGCTCTAGGTAACCAGCTTATCCTCACATTGTTTTATACGCTCCATAGTTCCAACTCCCTCTTGTTGATTCCATGCCTCTTCATTTATCTTATTGAAATCCTCATGCTTCTTCCAATATGGTTCATAATGAAAAGACCATCTCCAAGTAATATCTTCTTCCTCCAAATCAAGTTTGACTTGAATGGGTACATGGTCTGATCCGCATCTCTCCAAGTGGTAGACTCTCATGTTTGGATAAAGTTCCTTCCATTCCTTGTTTCCCATAGCTCTGTCCAATCTCTCTTCTGTATAGTCTTGATCAGCCCGGTTATTTTCGCAGGTGAAAGTTAGACCGTAATAGCCACAGTCTTCTAGGTTGCAAAACTCAATTGCTTCCATGAACATTTCCATTTCCTTTGCATCAGGTTCTCGGTTTCCACTTTTCTCCAGATAGTCTATGATTAAGTTGAAATCCCCAAACACTAACCATGGTAACTGAACCTGTTGGCTCAGTCTTTCCATTAATTCACATGTTTGTTGTTTATGACTTGTTTCAGGCCACCCATAGATCCCTGTCAGCCTCCAGGTCTGACTGTAATTTGGCAGCTTGATTTGCACATCTATGTAGTGTAGATCTCTCCCCTTAACCTCCACCACAATATCTTCTTTCCACATCATCAATAGTCCCCCCACTCTATTCTCACCTGCTGCCACGCCTTTTCCATAAAAAAAACCAAGCTCTTTAATTTTCTTTTTCCATTCTTCCTCATATTGTTTCGTTTCCATAAGGAAAACGACATGTGATTTGTATGACGTAATAATGTCTTAAGCTTCTCAACTGCCGGGGTATTCCCGATACCACGACAGTTGTAGCTCGATCAAAAGACTCATTGAGCTGGGCGGCTCCGCTCCTTGGCAGAGTCCTCGCCATCCTTTGCAATTTCAGAGTTTTTTGTGTGAGCTATCTCTTCAGGAAGCTTGAAAGTCAGTTTATTAGCATTCTTAGCTTGTAGTTCAGCTGCCTCTTCGATGTTTCCTTGCTCTCCAGTATTCTGAACATTCCTCTTCTGGGGGGTTATTTGTGTAGGGGTGTGTACCCGTTCCTTAGTCTGCTCCTGTTTGCGCCAGACTTTATTTCTGTTTCTCTGGTGATGCACCACTGAGTCTGAACCCATGACAAACTGTTGTAGAGCCCCTCCGATACCCAACCGTCCTAAACCTGGATTTTGAACTGATTGGGGACCATCAATATTTGGTGTTATTGGGTCATTTGTAACTATGACCTGTTCTTTCACAGGTTCTGCTTTCATTGTATTGCGCTCGGCCTCCTTCTCTCCCTGGCCCTCTCTTACTTCAGGTATTTTTTTTGTCTGCTATCTCCCCAGGAGGAGGTATTTCATGGTCCGAAGTCGAACTCGTGCTTTCCCAGTCAAACTTCTTTCTCAGTAACGCCACCTTAATATTAACATTAGTAAACATAATCATGTTTACGGTAGAAACACACCATTAATCGGGGAAACCAATTAAGAAAACTACAATCCAACCAAAGCACAATAGAGACAGAGATCTCCCACCCCACATACAAGCTAGGTATGGCGCCCGCTTTAGATCATCAAAGGCGACACATACCGAGAGAGAGACTAAACTGATTTAGAACTACATAGAAAGAGACCCATACATCAAAACCCCCTAAAGATTCCATCTTTTCGTTCTAAAGTTCTGATTTTTCATTTTACCAGATCCCAACTTCCATGAACCCATCTTCAGTGGCGCACCCTCTGAACATCCCGTTCGCGTTGAACCCGCACGCCACTTCCCCCTTGCTCGAAACCGCGATCAGCCCGGCTTTCCCGTCGTCGAGCCGCTCCTTGATCACGAAGTCGACGGCGGCTTGAAGGCCGAGCCCTTTGTACTCCATCACCGCCGCCACGTCGCGCGCGAGGGTGGCGCGGATGATGGCCTCGCCTTCCCCTGTGCACGACACGCCGCAGAGCTTACCCGCGTAGGTGCCCGAGCCGATCAGCGGCGAGTCTCCGATCCGGCCGATCTTCTTGTTCATCAGCCCGCCCGTCGACGTGGCGGCGGCGCATCGACCCTGGCTGTCCACCACCGTGCAGCCCACAGTCTCCGGGGCGTAGACGCTGATCGGCAGGCCGTTCATGCGGATTGGGGTGTTGGTGGCTGCTGCCCCTGCAGCGCAGGTCCCTGGCAGCGGGATCCTGTAGTCGAACTGTTCGACGAAATGCCCCAGAGAGAGTGAAACAGTGAAATTAAGGGGAATCGGTGAATTGAAGGAGAGGGTGTTTGTTGGAATTTGGAAGGAACAATTACCAAGATGGAGTTGGCTTCCTTGGCCAGTTTCAACATTCCGACGTTTTCCTCCGTGATGAAGTAGTCATTCTCCACCATTTCGACTCCCTGCGATCATATTTTATTCATCAATCATCTGATTGATTAATTTAATTGTCGCCATGGATTGCTTCACGTGACATTGAAAACAGAAACAAGGGGAGGAAAGTAATTTATTCTAATGGGATTTTGATTTCGGAAGAAGAGGAAAAAGGAGGAATCACCTGTTGCCTGGCGAAGTCCTCGGCGCCGGAGAAGGCGAGGTAAGAATGAGGGGATTTTTCCATGACCAGGCGGGCTAGTGAGACTGGGTTCTTCACGGTGGTAACGCCGGAAACGGCGCCGCATCTCCGCTTGGTGCCGTCCATGATGCTGGCTTCCATCTCCACCGTGCCTTTCTCTGTGAGAGCAGACCCACGCCCGGAATTGAACAGGGGATCGCTTTCCAACTCCCGAACCTGCAACACCACAAAGCCATCAGCGATTCAAACGAACATTTCCAACATTTGGGTTCATCGCACAGAAAAGAATCACTGTGCATGGAATCGAAAGTCTGAATCTTTTGTTCGACGATAAAATGCTCTGTTTCTTTCGCAGGAAAACAGAGCAATATAAATAGTAACCGATAAGGATCCATGTTTGTCATGGTGATCAAATTGGGAACCCAATTGATTAGTTTGTCCTTTTTATGTCCAGATTGTGGATCAGTTATAACTCATTCTTGAGGAACACATATAAACGAGGAAGAGGGAGTGAAACAGGGGAATGAAAACGTACAACGAGTTCGACAACGTCAATGGCGGGGAGATTAGAGCGGAGAGCAGAGATGCCGAGATTGAGGCAGCGAGTGAGGAGGCGTTTGGCCTCTTCCTGTCGCTGAAGAGGGAGATTTGGGTCCACCCCAGCGCCACCGTGCACTGCAATAGCCCAACCTCCCATTGTTCTGTTTTTTCGAGTATCAATGAACCACCCCGAAAAAAAAACAAACAACAAAATTTGCCTTTCCTCTCTTTTTCTCTTGCCCTCTCTCTTTCTCTCGACTTGGCCTCCGGCGAGATCTAGTCTCTCTTTCTCTAAATTGATTTGGTTGTGTGGTGAAAGCCTCTTGGTTTCGCGGCCTTTATATAGAGGGCCATGGAAAAAGGGAAGGGAGGAGAGGGGAAGTCTCCTGATTCCAGCTGGGTTCCTCTCGTGCTCGGATTTAACTAGTCATTTAATTAGAATTGATAATAGTATACTTTGTTTCCTGAATTAATTAAACTCGGAGAGTCGCTAATTAATTAACAACGAGCAGCGCCAGTTGAGGTGGGCAGATTCTCATCTCATGCAATGGCGCCATTTCCCCAGGAGCATCCATCCGCCATTGATTCAGTATACAGACAAAGGTTGGGTATCGCTGATAATATTGTTTTAACTCATCACGACTACCGCCACTGCTACAACTTCATGGTCATGTGGTTCAGTTTCTGCAGCTAGCTAGCTTGCTCATTTCATTTGTTTTATATACGAGCATCCGTGTTGAACTTGGACGCATATCAATGTACTGTATGTTTATACAGGAGATCGTCAATGGAGATTCGAGACCCAGCTTGCGTGGTTACATTTCCAACAACACAAAAACAATTATATATCCTTTCACTACTAAAGAACACACAAAGAAGAACACAAAGAAAGAGTTAAGAATTATCATAGTAGGAAGTAGGAACAAGTTGGGATGGACCCTTATCGAAGGACGAAGATGGCCCTTCGATGACTTCCCTTTGGATGTACTCATCACTACTCATCATCTTCATCACCAATACAATGGATTAGCTGCTACACTCTAGGGTCTGGTTCCGTTAAGCTGGGTTGGGCAACCTGCAAAGTTACGGAGAAGTGTTATCGGAGAAGTGTTATGATACAATCCAAGTACCTCTTTGAAAATATTGGGGAAAATTGTCTTTTATGCATAATTGTCCACCTAACTTTATTAGTATGAGACAAAGAAAGCTAAAGTAAATCCGTGAAGGTTTAACTCAAATTAGATATTATTGTACTAATAGATCATATGGATTAAGTTCTATAAGTGGCAATAGAGTCCAGTTTTGGAGTTCTGATGGAGCACTCGGTATTAGGGCTGGGAATTCAGACCAAACCGTATGGGAAACCGTGGTCTGGACCATATCGTATGGTTTGGTCTGGACCCTGAGACCAGAACTATGGTCTGGTCTGGTTTGTGGTCTCCTCCTTTAGTGTGTGGTCTGAAGTGGTCTGGACCGCGGTCTACCGCAGTAAACCGTAACAGACCGCGACACACTACCTACTACCTTGGACAAAAATAACACTAAATTGAACCTTCATATGTGTATTTGAAGAACAAAGTTAGTTGATTCTTCATCTAGTTGAGAGCCAACAAATTGCAAAATGATCGCTTATATGTTATCTCCTTATCAAAGTACCACACAAAAATTAGAAAGACTCATAAATAATATTCACAGATAATGTCTAGACTATGGAGTCGATAAAAATTAAACACTACAAAAAAATTTGTTCACCTTGATGAGATAAGGAAAATTATTGAGAGATATGCGACCATCTTAGTGGTTCAAAATTACATCGACGTCATCAAAAAGGTTATCAACTGGGAGAACCTTCGGATCACTCGAGAGAGGAGATAAGCGGTAGCACAAAGAAGAATAGGGAAATAAGGCTATTTGAAAATTGAAAAAACCCACTTCTATTCTCATATTTCTTCTTATTTAATACGATCACAATTTTTTTGTTTCACTAGCATATTGGTCACTAGATTTTTTTTATAGATACCGGTGAAGGGTTGGAGGGCGAACAAGAGTTAAGTTTTTTTTTAACATGGTCTGTCTGGTCTAGACCATACCGGACCGCACCGCACAGGTGTGGTATGGTCTAGACCGTATAGTATATGGTCTGGTCCTGGTCTGTGTTCCAACTTCTCGGTCTGGACCACATACCGTATCTATGGTCTGGTCTGAACCGGACCGGACCGCACCGTTTCCCACCCCTACTCGGTATCAAAAGGTGTGGTTTAAGAATGTGGTTTCAAACTGATCTTAGTAGTGAACTTTAGTTTAGTAACAATATCTTACTAATAGAGTAGGGCTGGCTATTTGGTCCGGCTATTTGGTTTTACCCGAAATTGGGTCGTATAACCTGAACCGAAACCGGATAGCAAACAATTCAATCTCATATTCGGGTTTAGATTTGAGGTAAAAAAAACATTTGGGAACGGATCGAAAACCGGATAAGAGAGCTCAACACCCAAAAACTTAACCAACTCCTCACCATTTGAAGTCTCGGGCCACTCAAATTCCCAGAAGTTCAATCTAAAATCAAGACCGAATTGGAACCGGACCGAATCAAGATCGAACTGTATTCAATCAAATCTTTGATCCTTGTATTTCCAAAAAAACCGGACCGAGACCGAATCAATTCGGACTAATTTAACTGGACTGGACCGTATAGCGAAGATTCAAGCGCAGGTGGGCAGAAATTAGCCACGCGAGGCTGCGGAGCAAGAAAACAAAAATAAACAAAGCGAAGTGGGCGATGACACCCCCCACTTCCCCACCTCTGGGAACAGTGACAGCCACCTTCACAATCTTAACTATTTAATTACACTATCATTATAAAAATCACTACTTAATCAAAATATCAGCCTCCCTGCACCTACTTTTCCGTCTCTTCTTCATGTACATTGTTTTAATCCATTTCAACGTGCTAGGAAAGCCACGAATCTCCATATAATATACTACCCAAGTTGTGAGCAGGGTAGAATTTTTTTAATTCATTTATGATAATAATGCTGATTGGTTGCTTCACAAGAATGGAAAGGTCGATGATGAATGTGAGATGAGTCGGAAGAAGACTAGAATATATGTTAATCAGTCATCGGATTAACATGCAATTAGAAGCTACCTGTGCTCCATAAGACGCCTCCTCGGTGTTTCCTTTAAACGGAAATTCAAATTCTGGGCAAAGTTACAAACCAAGTCATACAAATCCTGGTGATATGGAAATGAATCATAAACAGAAATTTCGATAGCTACAAAAAGACCTAAAAGTTGGCCATATGTGTAATAAATTAATTATTAATTAATTAATTAACAGTTCAAGAAACCAAGCACGGTTCCTCACGACAATTTCTCCCTATTTCACTGTTCACTAGAGTTATGCGTAGCTATGGCCAAACCCACAAAAACTTCCGGTTCTATTTTCTTTGAGCATTTTTTTTAACAACCATTATGAGATGCCCCCTTTATTCATTGGAACACTTTTTTACCACTAATTATTATTATAATCATCAAGTTTACCGTATCATTAAGCCAAGCAATATGTGGACGATAAAATGCCTAATTAATTAACAGTTCAAGTAACCAAGCACTGTTCCTCACGACAATTTCTCCCTATTTCACTGTTCACTAGAGTTATGCGTAGCTACGGCCAAACCCACAAAAACTTCCGGTTCTATTTTCTTGGAGCATTTTTTTTACCAACCATTATGAGATGCCCCCTTTATTCATTGGAACACTTTTTTACCACTAATTATTATTATAATCATCAAGTTTACCGTATCATTAAGCCAAGCAATATGTGGACGATAAAATGCCTACGAGAGTTCAGACCGATAGACATTTTAATGGTATAAAACGTTGGACAATAACTAAACCATGATTTCAACACAAAATATTCTAATATTTACGTTTTCGGTATAATTTCAAGTACGATTTTAGAATCCTTAATTTATAGAAGGATAGGTATTTCTTATGTGATTTTTACTGTATAACCTCCAGCCCGATAGGGTATAAAAATGCCTACGAGAGTTCAGACCGGTAATCAGTTAATGGTATAATACGGTTGAACTACAATTAACCCATGACTTAACACAAAATACCCTAATACGATTATAAAATTCTTGATATATAGAAGGATATGTATTTCTTATGTGATTTTTTCGGTATAATGTCCAGTATGACAGGTTATAAAAAGTACCTACGAGGGTTCAGACCGATAGGCAGTTTTAACAGTATAAAACGGTTGAACCATAGTTAAACCATGGTTTAAATACAAAATACCATAATACTCACGTTTCGGTATAATCTCCCGTACGATTTGCAATCCTTGATTAATAGAAGGATATGTATTTCTTATGTGATTTTTTTGGTATAACCTCCTGTACGATAGGGTATAAAAAATGCATACGAGAGTTTAGATCAGTAGGCAGTTTTAACGCTATAAAACGGTTGAAACATAATTAATCCATGGCTACGAGAGTTTTAACCACAATCCAACCATGGTTTCAATATAAAAAACCTTAATACTCATTTTTTTAAGTATAATATCCCATAAGATTTTGCAATCTTTGATTTATAAAAGGATAAGTATTTCTTATGTGAATTTTTTGGTATAACCTCCTGTACGATAAGGTATAAAATTGCCTACGAGAGTTCAGACCAGTTGGTAGTTTTAACGGTATAAAACAGTTGAACCACAGTTAAACCATGGCTTCAATACAAAATACCCTAATACTGACAATTTCGATATAATCTCCAGTAAGATTTTACAATCCTTGATTTATAGAAGGATATGTATTTCTTATGTGATTTTTTCAGTATAACCTCCAGTACGATATATAGGGTATAAAAATTCCTGCGAGATTTCAGACCGATAGGTAGTTTTAACGATATAGAACAGTTGAACTACAGTTAAACCATGATTACAATATAAAATATCCTAATAGTCACGTTTTTTTATAATCTCCAGTAATTTTCACAATCATTGATTTACAGAAGGATAAATATTTCTTATGAATTACCGGAAAAAAATATTTCTTATGTGACTTTTTTCGTATAACTTCGAGTACGATTACAATCTTTTATTTATAGCAGGATAAATATTTTTTTGATGGTTTAGAAGGAAATATATTTATTATGTATAAACAAACTAATCACGTATATCCGCCATAGTATAATTTTGAACAAACCAAATCTCTTTATTATTAACTTAATTATTTATCATCTCATCAATTTATTATACACAAAGTTTTGCAATGGTAGTTATTTTTAACTTGATTATTGATCATCTCTTCAATTTATTGAACAGTTTAACAAGATGTGATCCTTTTTTTAACCCGATTGTATAATTAGGCCACACATTATCACAAATTTATACAACTCCTTTCTATAATAGTTAAGTAAATCGCAAATACATTACGTAAAATTTATAGAGCAATAATTATTTCCCATATTTCAATTATATTTCAATTAAACAAACTTATTACGTAATTCTTCGGTATTGATTAATACACTACATAAATCTTACGAAGAGTACTTTATGTCACTTAATTACCTTATCATTAACTAAAAGTCATACATTATTAATAAAATATTCACCATATTATCAATTTGAATTACACAAATGTTTTCTTAAATTTTACATAACAATTTGATTAAATGTGAAACATTTGTAGTTTAATTTTATTATTAAACGACACATTATATAAGATTAATGTAACAC